GAAGTGAGACAAAAACTCCCCAGAGCCTGGGTCCTGGGGCTGCCTTCACCTGCCCCACCAGGGGGTGCTCTCTGCTGCCCCCTGTTGGAAAGTCTGTGCTGAGACGGGAGGCTCTGAGCCCCTCTCTGTCACTCAGATCCCCCTGTGTCTTGATGGATGGGCCCTGTGTGCTGTGCAGTCACTCCCTGGGGGCGGGGTGGTTCAGAACAGGGTTTCTGAGCCTCCGCACGTCTGACAATGGGGTGGGGGCGAGGCCTGTGGAGGGGGCTGCTCTGCGCGCGTGCGGGGCATCTGGAAGCTTCCTGTGGGCTCCACACAGAAGATGCAGTAGCTCCTCTTCTCTAGGTTCTCACTTAGGAGAACACCTCCTGAGGTTTCCAAATAGCCCCTGAGGGTGCCAAATCACCCCAGTTTGAGAACAACTTGTTAAAAGCACATGTTCTCAGCTTCTAGGCAGCCTTTGACCTTCAGGCCTGTTCATGCCCATCAGCTGGATGGAGACTAGATGTGGCGTCTCCCTGTGCCTCTGTGTTCTCACCTGTCAGACCAAACAGTGACACAAACTCACCTGAGGTCAGAGAGCTGTGACCCAGTCACGTGCAATCCCCTCTCATCCAGAGTGTGCGCGCCATTTCTGGCCAAACTAGGAGCACACTTAATAGTTAAAACTTACCCAATGCACATCCATGACCCTGTTCCATTCTCCTTTATTCTCTCGGGGAGGAGTTCACACATGAGATAAAGGATGAATGAACCCATGACCAGGCCTCCCACCTGTGAGTCTCCATATTCGTGGGGTCCCAGAGAGCAGACAGGAGGGGCAGGCGGGTGAAGAGCCAACAATGAGGGTGGGAGCCAGGACGCCCCCCTCGGGCACATGACCTGCCGAGCCCAAGGCCCACAATCGACTGCTCACACTCGACTGAACGTACAGTCTGTCAGGTCACTGGGTGTCCCATGACACTCATACACGCTTAAGGTCCACCATGGGAACAATAAAAGATAATATTCATTTCTTGAGCCCCAAGTCCCACAGAGGAGCTTGGGTAGGGGGTTGGGCGGAGGTCATGAAGGAAAAGGGAAGGGTTTTATTCTCTGTGTGAATGAACACAGGATTGCAAACTGTGATGTGAGGGAAGGAAACAAGGAAATGATTGTCTGAGGGCATATGGGCTGGTCTAGCCTTTATTCTGCTCCAACATGTCACCCATGGCCCTCACAGCTACGCATATAGGATGCCCTGTTGCTCCTTCACTTGTACAATCAGGACCACCACCAGTTTCCTATCCATTCTGAGATGACAACACACAGTCAACCGCCCACAATTTCACCGCATCTACACACACATCACAATCTCACATTTGTCACAAAAATAGGACGAGTCAGAAAGTACAGTCAGTAAAGTCTTATTTAAAATATGAACAAATGTTAGGACACCGACGAAAATCCTAAGAAGAAACACAGGACCCAGAAATGCAGATCAGGGCACATGTGATAGACAGTCAGTTCCTGATGAAGGAGCCGTGACACCTTCCACTGGCCACTGTGAGGCCTGAGGAGCCATGATGTGTCCAAGTCCATCGCATCCGATCTCCGTGAACCTGCACATGCAGCTCAGGACCTGAAAGGTCTGGTGGAAAGTCCTCCTTTGACCTTGCCCCTGAGTGTGTTCCCGGGAAATTCCCTGAGCAGCCCTGTGAGTCCTCGTGACCAGAGGAAGGTGTCCCTGGGCTGTGACGTCGGACATGAGGGTCACTGTGCACTGACTTTGGCACCATCTTCACTGGAGGGGACACTAATCAGTCTGTCCTGTGTGTCCATGATGGCGCCGCCCACAGACGGGACTCCTCCTGGGAGGGAGGCGCTGCAGGGTGGCTCCAGGGCATCAGAGTCACAGGCCCTGGGACCAGGCCAGGATGTGTGGCCAGAGACAGTCCCCTCTGAGCTGCAGGTGCAGCTGGGCTCTCAGGGCTTTGGGCCAAGGGCAGGTGTGTGCTGCCACAAGCAGGGTGCGCTGTGGTACTGCCCTGTGGTCCCAATGCAGCTGCACATTAAGGACCTTAACTAATAGGAGCCTGGGCCTGTGGCTGGGCCCTGTGCTCAGTGATGTGCTGTCTCAGCAGGTGCTTCCTCCCAGGGCCCCCACG